GAGTAATACACAGAGGGTAAAGAGGCTGTAGGAGTTCTGATATTGCAGAATATCGCACGGCTATCAGCCAATCAGATTTGAGAACCAGACAAAACTGTTGTATAAATAAATAAATATATATATATCAAATCTAATTATTCTTTGGACTGTGGGAGGAAACCCATGCAGAACGTGCAAACTCCACAAAGAAATGCCAACTGACCCAGCCAGGGCTCGAGCCAGCGAACTTCTAGCTGTGAGGCTAACGTGTTACCCACCACTGCACCACTGTGTTGCCCCTAAATAACTCACTCCCTCTATATCTATTTTCCATCTTTGCCTTTTGAATCATACATGATAAGTCTAAAATTACTTGTGTGTGTGTGTGTGTGTGTGTGTGTTTACTCTGGTTTTGTCTCTTCAGGGCTCAGACCATTATGAAAGCTCGTCTGAAAGGAGCTCAGACTGGCCGCAGTTTGCTGAAGAAGAAATCAGACGCTCTGTCAATGCGATTTCGGCAAATTCTGCGAAAAATCATTGAGGTTTAACACCACACCTGTGCTTTTATTTGACACAGTTGCTTTCATTTTAGTCACTGGCTTATAAAGAGCTCAAATAAATGTTTAAATCTCTCAGTAAATAGACTATTTACTTTTTAAACAGCTATATACGAACATCTTTAGGAATAGAAAGATATTACATTTTAATTCAAATGAGGTGTTGCAAAAGTAAATAAATACAAACTTCTAAATTCTATGTATTTTTTTGTGTTTTACTCTGTTAAAATGTATTAAAATTAAAATCAACTGTTATGGAAACAGCCAGATTTATTATAGCTATGATGTTAATATCACTTAAACAAATAGAACTGAATATTATTAGTTAATAACTATATTTAAACATTGTTTATATACGATTAAAGCTACTGATCAGATTACAGCAATGATTTTAAAATTCATCATTCATAACTTTTCTTTTCGGCTTAGTCCTTCCAGCTGCAACCTATCATTGGGAAACATCCATACACACTCATACACTACGGACAATTTAGCCTACCCAGTTCACCTGTACCGCATGTGTTTGGACTGTGGGGGAAACCGGAGCACCCGGAGGAAACCCACGCCAACATGGGGAGAACATGCAAACTTCACACAGATACGCCAACTGACCCTGTGGGGGCTCGAACCAGCGACCTTCTTGCTGTGAGGCAAATGTGCTACCCACTGAGCCACCATGCAGCCTTGATTTAAAAATTTTCTTTAATAATTTCCTCAAATATATTAATTTGAGTGTACTAATTTTTAATAATTATAATAATATTATAATTATTAAACAGTTATAGCTATTAAAATAAAAGCTTGCTCATCTAACATCTTTAGGAATAGAAAGATAACACATTTCAATTCAAATGAGGTAAAAAAAAAAAAAAAAAAACTAGTAATTTTTATATTTATTATGGTTCTTCAGATTTTTTCTCTCACTCTGTTAAATGTATTAATTTTAAAATCAACAGTAATGAAGATTATTACAGTTATGATGTTAATATCACTTAAATACAACTGAATACTATTAGTTAATAGCTCTATTTAAAAAATAGTTATAGCAACTAGTAATAGAATATGTATTCTAGTAAAAGAATATGATTTTAACATTTTCTTTATTATTTTCCCCTAACATATTCATTTGGGTGCACTAATTTTTGCACTGTGATCTTAGTTTTTTGCTCAATTAGTTCTAGTTTAGGCTTTGGTACTGACTAATTTAATGTACATGCAGATATATTACTATAAAGCATCCTATATAAAGTATTAATTTAAAACAAGAGATATGCAAGGAGTGTACTCATTATTCTGAGCAATATATACAGTTGAAGTCAGAATTATTAGCCCCCCTGGATTATCAGCACCCCTGTTTATTTTTTTCGCCAATTTCTGTTTAATGGAGGGAAGATTGTTTCAGCACATTTCTAAACATAATAGTTTTAAAAAATATTTCTAATAACTATTTATTTTATCTTTGTCATGATGACAGTAAATAATATTTTACTTGATATTTTTCAAGACACTTCTATACAGCCTAAAGATACATTTAAAGGCTTAACTAGGTTAATAAGGTGAACTAGGCAGGTTAGGGTAATTTGGCAAGTTATTCTATAATAATGGAAAAACAAAGTAGAAACAAATCAGAAAACAAATATAGCTTAAAGGGGAAAATCATTTTGTCCTTAAAATGTTTCTTAAAAAAATTAAAAACTGCTTTTATTCTAGCCGAAATAAAACAAATAAGACTTGTTTTTAGAAGAAAAAATATTATCAGACATACTGTGAAAATTTCCTTGCTCTGTCAAACATCATTTGGGAAATATTTAAAAAAGAAAAAAAAAAATCAAAAGGGGGCAAATAATTTTGACTTCAACTGTATACAGTTCCCTTCTTTTTCAAATATTTCCCAAATGACTTTAAACAGATTCAGGAATTTTTCACAGTATTTCCTATAATTTTTTTTTCTTCTGGAGAAAGTCTTGTTTGTTTTATATTGGCTAGAATAAAAGCAGTTCTTAATTTTTAAAACCCATTTTAAGGTCAATATTTGTTTTGGATAGTCGACAGAACAGCCCACTGTTATACAATGACTTGCCTAATTACCCTAACTTTACCCTAATTACCCTAGTTAAGCCTTTAAATGTCACTTTAAGCTGAATAGTGGTATCTTGAAGAATATCTAGTCGATTATTATGTGCTGTCATCATGGTTTTAATGTCTTTTTTCATCTTGCAGACTAAGACGCTGATGGGAGAGGTGATGAGAGAAGCTGCCTTTTCATTAGCTGAAGCTAAATTTGCTGCTGGTGACTTCAGGTAAATAAAAAATATCATGCAGCAATACTGTAGCTGCTGCTGAAAAAATGCAGATCTCATCAGATGTGTTTGCGTTTTGTACATCAGTACTACAGTCATTCAGAATGTGAACAAGGCCCAGGTGAAGGTCAGAGCAAAAAAAGACAACGTTGCAGGTTAGATTTATTAATATGATAATTTTTTTTGATAACTTTTTTAAAAAATATTATATATATATATATATATATATATATATATATATATATATATATATATATATATATATATATTTTTTTTTTTTTAATTTTTAAAAAAAAAATTTTTATCACTATCCTGCATGATCATGATATATTGAATATCAGCATGTCTAAATGAGCGTTGTCTGTTTGTTGTCAGGAGTGACTCTGCCAGTGTTTGAGCATTATCAGGAGGGAGGAGACAGTAAGAGTCCTCTTCTCTTCATGTTTAAAAGCAAATAGAGATACTGGAGATCATATCATTACAGGGGTATTTTGCTCTGTGCAGGTTATGAGCTGACGGGTCTGGCCAGAGGTGGAGAACAGCTGTCTCGACTCAAGAGGAACTACGCTAAAGCTGTGGAGCTGCTGGTGGAGCTCGCCTCACTGCAGGTCACTATCGCTTTGTGCATATTATAACCATGCTTGAATCTGATTGGCTGATGAGCATTCTCATGTGTGTCATTGTTTTGAGGCAGGTTTTTTCCAGAACATTTACATTCTCTGTTCCTAAAATAAATAAATAAATACCAAAAAAAAAAAAATGTGTTGCTTTAAACATATTTTACCATGCTTGATTCTGATTGGCTGATTTGCATTCTAAGGCGTGCCGTTATTTTCAAATAAACACACATGTAAAGTAGTTCCGGCAAGTTTTGAGGTCATTGCAGCTACATATTTACTACGCTAAATGATTTCAGTTATTTATGTATTCATTTTGTAATTTTTCGGTGATGTTTGTGGTGATGCTATAGGTTCACAAACTGCAAATACAAACGTATTTGGCAATACAATAAAACTTTTTACATACAGAAAAATGAGCTAATAAATAGTCCATTCATGCAAAAGATCCGAAAAAATGACTGTATTTAAGGGAATAGGTGAAAATGTGAGGTTAATTTACTTAAACCTCAGACAATGCAAGATGAACGTGACAATTTTTCTGTTGTAGAGCATTAAATAGTTCTATTAACCGAAGCTGTGGTGATTAGTTAAATAATTAAATAATTAGTAGGTGATTAGCTAAATTAAGCTAAACTAATTAAATACCCATAGCTCCTTTAATACATTGAGGGAAAAAGATCAGTATGTGCAAGAAACTGATCACTATTTTAACTATTATTATAGTGCAGGGCTGTTGAATGCTTGATTTTGATTGGCTGATGAGCATAATAAGGCGTGTCGTTATTTTGAGGACAGTTTATTTCCAGAACCTTTACGTTCTCTGTTGCTAAAAAATACAATAATAAATACAACAAAACATGTATTGTGATAAACATTATGATATTTCACCACGGGTTTGCTGAATGCTTGATTCTGATTCTAAGGTGTGCCGTTAGTTTGAGGTAAAAATAGTGAGATTTGCATCGCATTTTTGATTATTAAGAAGCCATTTCTTAAAATAATTTAAAAGATACACGTTCTCTAACAGATTGTGGTATCAAATTACACAGGACAGGTGCATAAAATCTGAGGGGCTTGCCATAAGTTGTTGAAATAAAAGTTTTTTTTTTTGGTGTAGCAAAATTTCAGTCAATATGTGCTGTAATTAATTCTCCTACAGACCTCTTTTGTGACTCTGGACGAGGCTATAAAGATCACGAACCGGCGTGTGAATGCCATCGAGCATGGTGAGATCTCACTCACTCACACACACACACACACACACACACACACACACACACACACACACACAAACACATATATATATATATATATATATATATATATATATATATATATATATATATATATATATATATATATATATATATGAAGCTTCATACAGCTTTAAGAACAGGTACTAATGTGACTCTTGTGTTTTGTCCTCGCAGTGATTATTCCCAGAATTGAGCGCACTCTCACCTACATCATTACTGAGCTGGATGAGCGAGAGAGAGAGGAGTTTTACAGGTGAGATCGCAAATGCAATATTAAAATGTGTGTGTGTGATATATGTATGTATATATATATATATATATATGTATGTATAAATAAAAACGAATTGTCTTTGTCATGATGACAGCACATAATATTTGACCAGATATTCTTCAAGACACTAGTATTCAGCTTAAAGTGACATTTAAAGGCTTAACTAGGGTAATTAGGGTAAAGTTAGGGTAATTAGGCAAGTCATTGTATAGCAGTGGTTTGTTCTGTAGACTATCCAAAACAAATATTGCTTAAGGGGGCGAATAATATTAAGCTTAAAATGGCTTTTAAAAATAGAGGAAAAAATATTACTGGAAATACTGTGAAAAATTCCATAATCGGTTAAATATCACTTAATAAAGTGCACAAGAGGGCAACATTTGCTCTCAACTAATGCATGAATAATTTCAGGCTTGACTAATATATATTTATATATATTTGAAAAAAGTCAACATTTGAAGTGAATCAAAAACATTTTCAAAACGAATATTTTACCACGGATGTGTTGAATGCTTGATTCTAATTGGCTGATGAGCATTCTAAGGTGTGCCGTTATTTTGAGGTAGGTTTATTTTCAGAACCTTTACATTCTTTGTTCCTAAAAGAAAAAAATAAATAAATAAATACAACAAAAATGTGTTGCTTTAAATGTAATATATTTCACCATGTGTCTGCTGAATGCTCGATTCTGATTGGCTGATGAGCATTCTAAGGGGTCAATCACACTGAACGCAATATTCCGTTCTGAAAACACGAGGCGTACCACACTGCCGCGTTGCGCTTTTTATGTCGCTAGGCAACGACTGAATCAGCTGCATATTGTACACGAATGTTGCTGTTTATATTGTTATATTTTTAATATTTAACAATATTGTGACATTTATAATTGGTGAGTCATAGAGCTCCGGATAACGCAAAACAGCAACCATTAGTCTGTCCTCTATCTTCAAAAGTCTCCACAGTTATCTTAACACAAACACTGCAGGCACCTCAATGGAAACCCCGCCTCTGCTTTCAATTGATTGGAGAATGAAAAAGATCAGAGTGACGTAGCACGCCTTTTTTCGCTCAGAGATCACCTTTTTCAACTGTGACGACAAAAACATGAGGTGCGCAAGGCACATAAGTAGCGCGCAAAACGCTTGCCGCCATTAGTGAACCATTCAAAAGTGCACCTCTCAGTGCAAAAAGTGTGCTCCACGTGATCGTCCTGTAAAGCTGCTTTTCCACAGCACATGACAAGCGACAGACAAAGGTAATTTAAAACTAAATACAAAATAAAATATTTGACCTCCTGCGACTAGACCATATGCGACCGGCGGACTCGATCTGATGTATTTCAGTGTTGTCCAAGCAGGTCCATGCATGCGGGATGAGAAATAGTAGTTTTTTAGTTTTTTTTTTTAATCAGAAAAGTCTATATTATAAATGAGTAATAAAAACTATTATTTTAATGTTGTCTCCATATTACCTCCAAAATGTTTAGTGGTCTTTGAGTTTCTAGTATCCATTTATTCAATCAACCATGGTGAATTCGCATCATTCGCCCCGCACCATTCGTGCCGCAGGATGTCTATTCGCGCGTTTGCAGTTACTTAAAGGGTCACGAAACACTAAAACACATTTTTTGAGCTGTTGACAGTGGTATATGTGTCCCACACTGCTATAAACACTATTAGGACACCTATATCTCACTAAAAAGTGAAAATTGTTTTTTTTTGCGTTATTTTGAGCAAATTCGTACTTCCGGTTTAAAACTAATTTTTGAAGCTGCGTCATGGCCATGAGATCATAGCGTGTATTCCAGCGTGGAGACTGGACGTCTGTACCTGGGAGTCCCGTATAACGTCTGAGTGTGTTGCATTTATTTATGAGTAAGGCTTGGTTCAAACCAATCAGCGCGCTCCATTATGTATGCGCTGCAACTTCATTAATATGCATGCTAGCTTTCTTAGGGTGCTTTCTACACTTTTGTTTCGGAACGTGTCTCGTTTGCCCAGTTAGCGCGGTTCGATTGGCATATGTGAACAGGGCAATCGCGCTCTGTTCCGCGCTAAAGTAATCGCTCCGAGATCGCTTGAATGAGGTGGTCTCGGCTCGATTGAAACGAACCCTGGAGCGATTGCAGTGAGAAAGCGATCAGATCCGAGCGCGGTTATATCACAGTGTTTTATGGATATGTAATAGGCTTACGGCTATATGAAGAGAGATTCATGAGTAGGGCGGGAAGTTTCGCGAGTCTCCGGATGCCCGCAAACGAGTGATGATCTCCCGGTTATCTCTCTTCTCCCTCCCGGTCCTCAAATAGGCTACGTCGCGCACCCTTCTCACCCCTCCCCACCGCATCTCTCCTCAGACACGTCGCGGGTCACCCTGTCAATCACCACCAAACCACCACCTCTCCTGACAGCTTAGCGGGACGCTGCAAAATAAACCCCCAAAACCCTGACACTCTGACCAATGTGAGGAGAGTTTACTCGCACGTGACTTGTTTTAGCTCTTTTGGTCCGTTTAGAAACTTTGCAGTGTGAAAGCGAACCGCTCCAAGAGCAAAGAGCAACAATGTAACAATTGTAATCTCTGTTTCAGAACAACTGAATCGATTCACAGGTGTGAAAGCCCCCTTAGACTGTACCTGAATTAGTGTTCAGACGGCAGAGATATAACACACGTTGTGTTGCCAAAAGTTGTGGGAAAAAAATAGGAATTGTTTGGAGAAACGGGTCGCCAGTGTTGCTTTTATAATGTGAAGGTTTTGTGTCATTTTCTATCTATGAGAGCATTGCTGGACTCATGTGTGGATCTGTAGACGTGACGCGCGGCAGAATTGCGTTTGTTTGGAACATTTTTTTTTTTTACTCGCCAGCATTTCTCATCAGTGGTGAGATCCGGATTTTCCCTTCCCCGACACTCCCACCCAAACAGAGCTAGACACACCCACTTTCCTGAATTTTTCCAAACTGGAGGTTTAAAAACAACCTGCTGAAACGGGGGGGGGGGTGGGGGGGGGGGGTTTCATGGCCCTTTAACATTTAAATCACTTGACGCTTCTTCTGCGTCTGGTGTGAACACAGCATCAGGCTTGCTATTTTGAGGCAGGTTTTTTTTAGAACCTTTACAAGCTGTTCCTAAAAAATGTAACAATAAATACAACAAAAAACGTGTTTCTTTCAACTTTATATGATAATTTACCATGGGTGTGTTGAATGCTTAATTCTGATTGGCTAATGAGCATTCCAGGGCGTCCAATTATTTCGAGCAAGGCCTATTTCCAGAACCTTTACATTCTCTGTTCCTAAAAAAATATATACATAATAATGAATTCAACAAAACAATGTTGCTTTAAACTATATATGATATTTTACCACAAGTCTGCTAAATGCTTGATTCTGATTGGCTGATGAGCATTCTAAGGTGAGTTGTTATTTTGAGAATGGTGGATCCACTTCAAATGTTGACTACTATATTTACTCACATTTACATCAGTAAATAAACGTAATAATGAGATAAAAATCTGCAGAATTCAAACATACTCATCGCACCAAACACAATAAAGTGAAAATAAGATTTTGCAGCATATTCACCCATGCTTCATCCTTCATCTTCCACATCTCAGGCTGAAGAAGATCCAGGAGAAGAAGAAGCAGCTCCGCGAGCGGACGGAGAAGGAGATCGCCAAACGCCTGGCAGCTTTAGGGCCGATTGCAGAGCCCACAAACATGCTGACGGAGGAGGCCGATGAGGACCTGCTGTTTGAATGAGCTCAAATATCCTACGGGCGCTGAGAGATCTTAACGTGCTGCAAAAAGCATAAGAAAGCATATGCAATTACGAAAAAACACCAGCAGATTAAGACAAGATCCCAACAAACGTGTTGCAAATCTTCATAACCCAAACATATTAATAAGCTGCGCTGCATGTTCTCACAATGCAAACAAATGAATGAGCTGCATTTTCTCACAACACATGCGAATAGCAGGGATCACAACAGAAATGACTCAAGGGGACTCCAAAATACATGACAGACCCGGCTGGGATTTGTGACTCTTGCTCAGTGCAGTTGCAGGTGATCTTTGAAAGGTTAAGGTTTTGTTTATTTTAACATCCCGATTACACCATTCCCATGTGTTTTGTTTATAATCAGCCTCGATAACCTTAACCAAAATAGCCGGGTCTGTCACATTTCAGGTTCCTCTTGAATCATTTCCGTTGTGTTGCATGCTATTTGCATGTGTTGTGAGAAAATGCAGGCGTTTTTTTCTCAATGGGTTTGCGTTGTGACGATTTGCAACACGTTTGCTGAGGATCTTTTCTTAATTTGCTGGCGCTTTCTGTTAACCGGGGTGTCCAAAGTCGGTCCCCGAGGGCCGGTGTCCTGGAGAGTTCAGCTCCAACCCTAATCAAACACACCTGAACCAGCTAATCAAGCTCCTACTAGATACTAGAAACGTCCCGGCAGGTGTGCTGAAGCAAGTTAAAGCTAAACTCAGCAGGACACCGGCCCTCCAGGACTGAGTTTGGACACCTCTGCTGTAAACGCATGCGTTTTCCTAAATTGAAGCACGTTAAGCGCTCTCAGCTTCCTCTGCTTTCCATGTGTGGTGAACAGACGAAGCTCTTGTTTTGTGTATATGTCAGTGCTGTGTCACTTTTTTGGTTTGTTCAGGGTGATTAGAGTATTACTGTAAAACGTGATGATCAAGGAAAGACGCTAGAAGGGTTTTTAACTCGACACAAAGCAAAAGCTGTAAGATAGCTCAACATGAATTCATTCCATGCAGCTGTGCACATCTCCTGCAGATCTTATTGCATGCATGTGTTAACCCAGTGCTCCCTTCTCCGTTAACTATAGTGTGTGTGATAAATGAGTGGAAATATTTCAATGTTAAACAATCCTTACCAAACATCAGCGGTGATTCTTCTCCATGTTCTGTCTCTTCAGTGCAAGTGCGAACCCTTAAACCCGTGCGAAACCATTTTCCTGTTTGATTTCATTTCAATAAATGTTGTAAATGGTCATTCATTCAGTTTCTTGTCGGCTTAGTCCCTTTATTATTCTGGGGTCACCACAGCAGAATGAGCCGCCAACTTATCCAGCAAGTTTTTACACAGCGGATGCCCTTCCAGCCGCAACCCATCTCTGGGAAACATCCACACACACACACACATACACTACGGACAATTTAGCCTACCCAATTCACCTGTACCACATGTCTTTGGACTGTGGGGTACATGTGTAATGACAATAAAGTTGAATCTAATCTAATCTAAACCGCAGCACCCGGAGGAAACCCACGGGAATGCAGGGAGAACATGCAAACTCCACACAGAAACGCCAACTGAGCCGAAAATCAAACCAGCGACCTTCTTGCTGTGAGGCGAACGTGCCACCCACTGCGCCGCCTGTAAATGGTCATTTGCTCGTAATTATTACTATGAATGTTTTGCTGTTTGGGTGCTAAAAAGTAATATTTAACTTTCTAGGGCTTAGTGGCCACATACGTGGACAGCACATTTTAGCTCTTAAGTGGCTATTTAAGATACTTTGAATGTTTTATAATTTGTTACAGACACACGGTGTCATCCTGCAAATGTTTTGCAGCATATGAAATGTCCCAAACCCTATTTTTAACTGTCCAAAATGATGAAAAAAATGTTGTTTTTACTCTCTGATGGTCAAAGCAAGTAAAAAAAATCTGTTAAATATGCTTAAAAAAATTAGTGAAAAAGTGTATGTAAATTCGGACCACCAGTTCTCATATATGGACATCATTTTTCTCTAAAAGCACATCAAATCAAAAGATGATACTTAGATTTTTATTCTAATTAGGTTCCAATAAGCTCCAACAGCAAAGAGAAATAATGCATTAACGCAACTAAAAAAACACCTTGAGCCTTAAGAGGTTAAAGTGGAGCTATTATGCAAAAATCACTTTTATAAGGAGTTTAAACAGTTGTGTGGCAACACTGTAACTATAACCAGTTTCTAAGTCTATTTTTTTAATAATCAGACTTGATAAAAACAGTCTGCAGAAACACTTTGATTGACATTCTCCTTTTGTGCTTGTTATCAGAGGGGAAACGCCCGCCCACTAGTGACAATCCCTCCCTCAATGGTGCAAAAACAGCCACCAACATGACGAAAGGGGAGTCAATTTAAACAGTGAACAAGGGTTGTCAGTGTCGAGGCATTATAAAAGTCACTTATACCAGTGCTTCTCAACCTTTTTTCACCAAGAACCACCTCAGAAAAAAAAAATGTCTCTCCAAGTACCACCATAATGACCAGTACTGAAGTACAGAAGCATAGCAGGCCTAATTAAGCAACTACAGCTGTGCACAGTTCAAAAACAAGGCAGATTAATTCCTATTATTAAGAATATGTATTATTATCAGACACTTGAAACATTATGAATAGCTTGAACATTAGCTGTGCTTGCAGACAAAAGGAAAATCTTCATTTAAATTAAAATGTGTTAATTACAGGGTTCAACGCTAGGTTTTTTCTTTTCCCACTGGCCTAATCAGAGTAGTTCAAGTTTTTACTTATTTTCTCTGGCCGCACCAAAAAATGAAGTTAGCCATTTAGTTATTCAGCATAACTTTTCTTTAAATACAACTGACAATTTAAAAATGATTTAATTTAAACGCAATACTCATTAGATTAATTAAAGTGAATAGTTTAATGTGTGGTTCAGTTGAAAACTACAACAATTTTATGATTTTTGTTCGTTTAAATCCCACCAAAATGCCTAATTTTAGAAACCGGCTCATTACATCAGTCTATACTACAGTCATCATTTTTAGTTTTTCATTTATTTGTAAACCTACATTTAAAATGCAGTTCATTTCTTGTTCCCAGTTAATCCATCAACATAATAATCAAATTAGCCCACGTTTTGATCAATTATGGCCTTTGAGTTGTTGTTTTTTTTTTAAATGTAGACTAAGAATGCTAAAGAAAGTCTATGAAGGGGGTCCGTGCAGGGGTGCATTTCTCGTCACAACAACGGGACTGCAGTCAGATCATGAAGCAGTGTTGGTCTTTCTTTCGAGGTGTTTAAATGAACAAAACAATTGGTCTGAAACAAAATATAAGATTTAAATATGGAACAATGATCAGATGGTAATTGCGGTAAATTCTCCTAACACACGGTAATATTTCAGCATGCTTTCACTTTCATATTAAACGCACATTTGCGGATAGAAATGACATCCCGCCCTACTCATCATTCTTTCTTCATATAGCCGTATAAATGGCCATTACACAACCATAATACACAGTATTACAGCCTGGTTCGTTGGATCGTTTTGTTTCACTACAATCGATCCGCTCAATCGAGCCAAGACCACCTCATTCTAGCAATCTCAGATCGGTTGATTTGCCGCGGACTCGAGCACGATTGCGGGATTCACATATGCCACACAATCTGCGCTTACTGGGCAAACGAGACCGGTTCCGAAACAAACGTCTGCATTAAAGCACGCAACTGGCAAACAGTCGCAGCCAAATTAACCTTTAGTGACAAGGCAGCACTGGCCCCGATCGGGCCGGTAACCATTCTGTATACTCTCCCGATTGTCTCTGGTCTCTTCTCAGTCCTTATTGTTTAGCCCTGATTTATAAATGACACTGTTCTTACAAAGTAAAACAAAAACTGCTGTACTTGTAAAGTATTAATGTATAGTAGCCTATATTCATCAAAACCTGGAAATGATGCTTGGACCTGATAAATATAGGCTATATGTCATACAGTTGAAGTCAGAATTATTAGCCCCCCTCAATTATTAGCCCGTTTATTTCTCTTTAACGGGGAACAGATTTTTTCAACACATTTCTAAACACATAATAGTTTGAATAACTCATTTCTAATAACTGATTTATTTCATCTTTGCCATTATGACAGTAAATAATATTTGACTAGATATTCTTCAAGATACTAGTATTAAACTTAAAATTACATTTAAAGACTTAACTAGGGTAATTAGGGTAACTAGGCAGGTTAGGGTAATTAGGCAAGTTATTGTATAACGATGGTTTTCTCTGTAGACTATTGAAAAAAAATAGCTTAAAGGGGCTAATAATTTTGACCTTAAAATGTTTTTTGAAAAATTAAAAACTGCTTTTATTCTAGCCGAAATAAAACAAATAAGACTTTCTCCAGAAGAAAAAAATATTAACAGACATACTGTGAAAATGTCCTTGCTCTGTTAAACATCACTTAGGAAATATTTAAAAAAAGAAAAGAAAAAAAAATCAAAGGGGGGCTTGTAATTCTGTATATATACAATTTTTTATACATTTTAAAATAAGCTGCATGTACAGATGACATTTAAATATTTTTGAAACATGAACATGAACTTGCATTTCAAATATATAATTTGGAATAACAATTAAATTAGATCTGCTGCACGTCATTTACAGTAGGCCTACTGTATGTGTGTCAGAAAAGCGAGTGATTAAATGCGTACAGTGCTGGACCAATTCATACGTGCGCTATTTTCGTGATTTGGTGTGAATGAGATGACATCTTAAGTGAACTGTGAAGTTTGCGTTAACTGTGCTCCGACGGCTGTTTTCAAACAGACTCTGGTACAGTTCGTGGTTCCTCCATCTATGCACACGGATACTAAGGGTCTACTCACACTCTGCTATCTGTACCATGCCCAGGCCTGTTTCCCGGATCGTTTGAGAAGTGTGAGTGCGCTGAATCGGGCTCAAGCACGGTTCACTTGGCCGGCCCTGGCCCGGTTGGAAGAGGTGTGCCTGAGCGCGGTTCACTTGGGCTTTGGCGCTGTACGCTTGTAGTATGAGTGCAAAACGCGCTAAGCCCTGAAAGCTACTGAAAGCGAGACGTGACTTTTAAGGGGCTGTTTGATATGGATTTATTAATCATTCTTACTGTTCAGTGAACGCAAACTGCCGTAGTTTATTAAAGACGAGAACTCCTCACAGCACGACAGCTGCACCTTCAGCAGACCTCCTCATTCCTGCAGCTCGTGAGCTTTATGATTGTTTATGAGCGCCAAAAGTGGCGGATCTGTTCGGTGAAATATCTGACTGCGTGTCCCCGCATCCCTAAGGACTGTTTGGTGAAATATTTGACTGCATGTCACTGCATATCAAACGACTGAAACGATATAACTAGAGAAATCTCCACTGTGCTGCTGAGTGACAGCGCTTCTCACTGAACAGCGCAGCATCGATGACGTAAGCGTGCCGAGGTCCCGATTGGGGTGTGAGTGTGGGCCGTCGGGGGAGACGGGAGGGGGGACAAGCGTGCTTTGGCCCGGTTCGAGGCAACTGTACCTAGTGTGAGTACGGCCTAACTTTCATTATATTCTACCTCTATGCTTCAACTATGGCAAAGTTTGAGTCTGTTCTTTGTCTCACGCCAATTGAATCCCATCCACAATAATTCGCCTAAATCTGAGGTAACAAATTAAAACGAAAGCCACGCTGCTTTACAAAACAAAAACCTTTATACGTCAAAAACACACATTATAACTACCAGCAGACATTTGAACACATTTGTAATAATTATGATGCAGCATGGGGATAAATCCTGAGTTTGCAGTAAATGAAATGCCAACACAACAGCACCGGTCTGCAGAAGGGCTTCTCTAGCACATGCGTATCTGCTCGCCAAGCACTGCGCGCATCTTCCTCTGGCTCTACGCCAAGCAATTTTTTTACATCTGATGATGCACTAAAGTGAACATTCTAAGCACACCGGTGTACGCTACAGGGAACAACCAATGTTGTCTGATCACATGAGTCTCGGCATTATCGTACGTGTCAAAGGGTTAAAAGTTGGTTAGAACAAAAACTCCTTTTAGTATGGAAAATATTCCTTCTATCGCGTGCTTTTGCTTTTAGTTAGAAAACGATTCAAGTTTTCATCAGCCTTAAATCAGCCTTTAGGTTTAATAGTCAGCTTCATCAGAGCCGAGTGAAAATGTATTTTGATCCAGAAGTGCAATACCTAGTTCAACCACTGGGTGCCAAACTTAAAC